AGATAATTAGTGTGCGGACCATTTTCATTTATATAGTGCTCTGTGAAAACAAATTAGTTAGCATAAATCAGTTAAATGACAAAAAATTAGGTGTCTATTTACTTGTGACCACTCAGTGTATATATGTTATTTTTTGTATTTTCAAATATCAAACTCATTTGAGTTGCATACAAGTTTTGGTGGAAACCTGTGTACCTAGGCCACAAGTGCCTGGATTAACAAAGTCTACAGTACCTCACTCTATACTAAAAGTATTTGGTTATTAACTGAATGTTCACAAGGTCAGTCAATTGGACCAATGCCATATTGGAGAAATAACTTGATTATAATTCTGAATTTACACATCATGTGTTACTAAAGTTTATGTGAATTGACAAGTATGAGTACAAGGTGATGTTCATGTGAAGAATAAACCTACTTTTTTTCCAACATGTAATTTGCATAACTACTAGTAGTAATGTAAAAAGGAATGCTTTCGTAGTCCAACCACTCTCACTTCTTTTTCTTCAGTTGTTTGCAATTAACTCTTAGCCTGTCATTGTCACTCTACAATTGTCAAATTTTTATCCATTTTGTTACTTTTTCCCACTCATGTGCTAGTGTTATTTGTCAGAAAATTAAGGAGCTAACATGTAAACTGAGGATTCTGATATGCAGAAAATAAAATTAAAAGATGAATAGCATTAGATTTCAGTACACAGAGCTGCTATGCAGATCAAAGAGGGATCACTCAACTAGCATGTGATACAGTCTTGTTAATCACAATTATAGAGTAACCTTCCTTCTGTACTCAATCTTGCAATATAAATGACTGAAATGCACGTTTTAAGAGTGTATTGATACTTGACAGTAAATATCTGCACATTTTCCTTTGACCAATTCCAGGGGAGTAGTTTGTCATGGCTTCCTATGTCCATTGTTCTCTTTGGTGACATATATCTCTTACATGACTGATGTTATGTTTCAATCAATATGTTCTTTCTTCTAGTCTTGGTAACACTTTTAAAAGCCTTTATTTGTAATGAGCAGACCTGTGGCTCAGTATTAAATAAGTTTGGATTCACCCTGAATCAAGTTATTTTGATATTGGCTCATATCACTTTTATCATTATTATTATACTGGAGGTAGAAACTGAGGTTTTGACTTGTTTCTGAAGTTTACAGTTATTTACATCAGATTTGAGCTTAATAGGTTAGCTCTATCTAACCACTAAAAATATATATCTAGTGTAATAATGGTAATGTTGATTACATTTAAAAAACTAACTTACATTATACAGCCACTGGTCATTTTAAATGAATAAAATACACGCCTCTAGTGTTATGTATTATCTTTGACTTTTCATAAGAGTCAAAGGTTTTAAGTTACAATAATTATCTACAACAGAAATGACAAAAAAAAAGTTTATTTCATTAAAATACAAGTCTACAGTCCAGAGTGGTTACAGGAAAAAAAAATCACATGTTTATATACAATGGCTGTACTGAATCACACACCTACATCCATGGTTTGTGGTAACAAATAATAAAAGATCTTGTGAAGTCTTACCTAACCTAGTGAGGACTTTATAACAAAGAAATAACCCTATCACTAAAAACTGTATCTTATGTTTTTAGAAAACCTACAGAGGTTTTACATTCATAACGAATCTAAGTTTCAAATGGACAGCAACTGTCTGTTGTAGAAACCTACAAATATAGAGGACGATGTTTCGAAAGTCTTCCGCCTTTCGTCTTCAGGTAATTGAATATACATTCAATTGGTACTAACATACCACTGGACACGCAAGTCCTCTCTTCATGCATGTTCAATGATGATAAGTGGAAAGAATTAATAAACTAGGACTAATGCGCCCAAATAATCTGATGGCTTTAAATTCTTTTTTTAAGTCTTTGAAATAAAAATTAGAGACCCTAAAATTTGTAAACAAATTATTTTAACATGTTTTTCAATAGTTTACCTCAAAGCTGCATTTAAATTTGTCAGTAGGATTGCTGAAAAAACACTGCTGCTATGTATCAGGAATTACCATAAACAAATTTCTAGAATGTTATGTTTAAACACAAACATGAATTTAGTTTTAATAAAAGTTAAAAAAAATATATAATTTCACTATGATCTTAGCGTTTACATTATAATACATGTAACTTTTATGAAATTGCCCCTTCCTGTGGGTACTCATGCTGATACTGTTTTGTTTAAGTTTTATGGATATTTTTTTTGTAACTTATCCTATTTGTTTCCCTTTTAAATGTTTTAGTCTGTTGACTTACAGTGTGAAAGCTGATCCTCTACATACATGTTTTGCTCTCCACCCCACCCCCCAAAAAATATTTCTGTGGGCACCCATGAGTGTCAGTGAAGTCTCAGAAGATTAGGATTACAAAATACAAGGGTTAGATTTAGGATTAATAAAAGTTTAAATTTTACAATTTAAAAATACTGACAATAAGTAAAGAATGTACAAAAATTTCAATTTTACAAGAAATATGTGTAGGAGCTTTTGTCAGACAACAAACAAAATAAATTATATGAAATTGGAAATAATGTTTATACTTCTTAACCTGATACAAATCTAAATGAGTTGTGATAGTTTTTGAACAATTCGATTTTACAGACACGTTTAAAGTTATCAAGTTATACTTGTATAAGGTATGATGAAAATGGAGCATAATTACAAAAATACACTTAAAAAGTATTAAACATGTAATACAGTAAGAAAGCAATGAACACACTAAAAATCACAGTGATTACTGGACTTTTCATATCACTTAGGAGATTCACATCTTTATATCAAAAGACTGAACGAATGATAATGCTTGTCAACCAGGTAACACAACCAATTACCATATTCCGCATACCGCTGGTTAAAGAATTTGAAACCTTCAGATTTGGCAGTGACGTGTTTAGATTTCAATGTTATGAATACTTGTGCTGAAGTAAAGTACTTGTTATTCAAAACTAATATTCAGAAATAACTGAAAATTTAATCCTGCACTTTCATATTATGAACATTGAAAAGTATGTAAAATCATTGTGAAATAACTGGATTATTAAATAGTTACAACATACATTCAGAAAGTGAAAACTGAAACTTCCTAGTATCTTTGTTGAAGTCGTCCATTTTTTGCAAAAAATATCACATGTAATATTTTGAAAACCTTATGTTTTTAAATTGCTTAATACTAACTGTAAAATTTCACTTCAAAGAATATTGTTCACAGTAGTACATGCACTATGAGAAGGGACAGTACTGTAATTCTCACTGTACATGTAAAAGTATGTTTTACAATTGCATACTTCTGTCAAAACAACAAAATAAAATAAATAAACTAACAAAATTAACAAACCTTGCAAGCTAACTTTAATCAATCTCACAAGATCCATCACTACCAGAAGCCCTGGAAAGTTGTTTCAACAGTTTTATTTTGTATTATTGCTTTATAAAGGTGTCAACGGCGGAGATACTTATTACCAATACAAATGTAATCTGATTAATTCCAGGAGATACTTATTACTGATACAAATGTATTCTGATTAATACCAGGAGATACTTATTACTGATACAAATTGAACATCTGTATTCTGATTAATTCCCTGAATAAAAAATTCTTATTTCTCTAAATACAAAGTCTGCCAGTTAAAAAAAGCAACAACTTAAAACTACCACCACAGTATTTAAGTTCTTCAATGCTACATTTCCTCAATTTTTGATGACAATGAAACACATTAACGAACTAAAGATTCCACAGTACTGAGTCTGTTACTACAAGATGATTAAATAGCACCAACAAGCTTCATCAGTCCCTCTGTTGTCATAGACTTGGGTCTTTCAATGGGTAAGCCAAGAGCACGGTCCCACACCAGAGAAGATGTTGTTCCCAAAGCACGAGAAACACCAAATAAGACAGTGTAGTACTGCATTTCTGTCATGCCATAATACTGAAAGATACATTGACAGCAGTTGTAGGTGTTTCAGCAGTATATTAAACATACAATTTAAAGAAAATCAGTTTGAATTTATTTAAAGAGAATAATTTCATATTGCATTTTTTTAAGTAACCTTTAATAGTAACATGAAAGTCAAAACTTTAGATTATAAAACAGTATTTATTTAACGGAAATAAATTGTTTGATGACAAATACGAAATTAAAAATAAAAACTATTGAAAAACTAAAAAATATAATTTGAATAATACTTGCACACTATTATACAATGTAACCACTGAAAATAGAGAAAAGAAGGGAGATAAAGCTTATTACGTCAGCCAGTCATTAGTTGTAGTAGAAAATGAAAGTTGTGAAGTCTCAAAATAATCCTTAATTTTACTGAATAACTTCCTTTATAATAACAATAATAAAATTACATTGTTCAAAGAAAACTTAAATTTATATTTTTTGTAAAAAAATGTATTTATTAACTGTTAGCTCAGACAAAGTAAATTCACTGATAATATTCTATTATATAAAACTCTCGAAACATTGACGTACAATTGATATAATAATGGACAACAAATATGTATAATGCCTAGTTTCTGAGAGTGCCTCAAGTTTATTATAGCCACTGCTTAATAACAAGTTTAGAATTTAAATCTGAAATGGATTTTGCCAACCACATTATACACACATTAAGGCTATTCTAGTGTCAAAGACTATTAATCTCCCATTTCTATCTATTTTTATGATACAAGAAAATGACATTTTTAAGGTTCCTATTTACTTGTAATTAATTTATAACATAAAAACACTAAAAATAGTGTAGTCTAGACAATCACTTCCAAGAAGAGCTAATATTGTTCTGTCACGAGTAACAATAATTTGAACTGATATCATCTAACATTAAAATATTACTACATTTATAACAAATACAGTGAAACCTAGTTAGTCCAAATACTGACAATCCAGATATTTCATACAGATAAATCCTTACAATGGGAAATTTAATCAATAATCTATATATTCATGTTTCAAGTATGAAGAGCCATTTCTTATAACAAACATGTATTTTCTACAGATACATGATTCAGTAATCTGTACAACACTCCAAGAAAATCAAGTAGGTGTTGATCAGAACAGGAAATGAGTTGATAATTAAACACCAGCATTTGCAGTGGGTACCAGTTTACAACCTTTACAGTATGAATGTACTTTACTCTAACATATATCAAGAGGTTATCAGGGTGATGTATGCAACAGTCAAGTTGCAGTGCTCCATAACGTGTTATTTGCTTAAAGCTGCTGAGAAGCTTTGGAGAGAATCACATTCAGTTCAAAAGACGAGAGCAAATACATCCCTTTTTGGAAAGTGATTTGTTTTATATTTGACCAAAACAATAATTTATGTGAAGATAATTACATTAACACACCACTTTAATTAAGCAATTTGTAAAATTATTGACAAAAATAAAATAAACTTAAATCATTAAGTCATTGCTTTTAAAATTAGATAAAATTACAATCATTAAGTGGCTTTCCTCGAGAGGTACAGGTGGGTGCATCCTGCCTCGAGGTGGAAAAATTGCACCATTGAATTAAAAAATTAAAGAAAATAATAATTAAGTTTATTTTGCACACAGTTGCTTTTTGTTTACCAGCTGTTTCAATAGCCTAGAACTACTACTTTATCACCAATTGGGATTAATGAGGTTTCATTGTATACAAAACCAATTAATTAAGCAAATTACAAATTAATCATTTGATGAATATCCTTTACAACACTAGCATATATGAAATATAAATGTGGTACACATCTACAGCAGTTATATCTTGGGAAGCGAAACCTGTAAAGTTTTTTTTATTTAAACATAGCTTGCCTGTTTTCTCTTCCCTAATTTCTTAACTATTAAAAACTGTATAAAATAATTTGAAGTTGTTCTTCCAGAAAAAAACTTCAGAGTTGAAATTTTTGAAATAAAAAAATCATTTAATTTTATATATATATAACATTTGTTTAAAATATTTTAATTTGGGGTTGACTTCTGTACTTTGAATGAAATCATTAGGAGGCAATTTGAAATAGGTTTTAACAAAATAGCACTAATTTGAACCTCGTAACTTCAATAAATGGGTAGTTTTATTGATTTTAGCCAATTACAAGCTCATTTTTCTGTTCCTTTCAACTGTACAATATATCCAGTTCAGGAAAGACTTGCGTAGAGATCGGAACAAAGTGACAAAAGCTTAGCTGGGAAATATGTTGCTACAAGGAAAGATGTTTATGAACAAGTTTGACCACAATTACAGTCCTACTTTTTTTAAACTTGCAAAAACTACCTTTAGCATTTGGTACTTAATTTCTTTTATGATGTTTCAGTACGATAGGAAATATTTTTTCGTGAAACAAGATGAGGTAGGCTTAATTAGATCATTTTGTATTCAATCGTATCAAATTTCATCCCCCGCCCCAAAAGGCCACTGTTTACATTAAGCCTTACTGGCCTAAGAAAGTTTCAGCAAAGAAATATAAACAAGATATATAAATGAATATAAAACAGGTTCGAAACATATAATTATTACATATATTAAAGAAAATCCTTCTGGTTAACAACAATAACAAAAATTTGCTTATGATATCGGTATAGTAAAAACGTTATTTTTATTATATGCCAGTGATCGTAAACACAGTGAAACCATGTGAAGTGTTTCTTGAAACACAACAATGAAACAAATTAATGGCATTAAAAAAATCTTTATAGAAAAGTTTTACAATAAACAAAGAAAATCAGTAGTTCCAATCTGTAGCAAAACTAAGCATTTTTAACTGTTTATTAATGATTTATTCAAATTTCACATATAAAAGTAAGAATTTATTTGCAGAAGCTATACAACTCATAGAAAGTCCATGCTAAGTTTCAAACTATTTCATCCACTTTTTTTTTTTGCAAAGCAATAAAACAAACCATAAAACTGCATCTCAAACCAATGCACCAATAACCCACATAACTGTGCATATAAAATTTCTATTCAATAATTCATGACATTTGTTTTACTAAAATATTTCATGTATATATATTTTAATAAAGTTCACAAACCGTTTGTTGATGAAATGGATTTCAGAATCACAGGGAAAAGAAAAATAATTACCTGTAACAAGACTCCACTGTGGGCATCAACATTTGGCCATGGGTTCTTCACTTTTCCCAGCTCAAGCAGAATCTGGGGCACAATTTTGTACAACTGAGACACAAGCTTGAACAATGGGTCATCAGGAAGATGTTTCATTGCAAACTCTCTTTGAACAACATAACGAGGGTCAGTCCTTCTTAGAACAGCATGTCCATAACCTGGTATAACCTGGGTAAAGAAGGGAATCATATGAAATAATAATAATGATAAAATTAATAGCAATGAAAATTAAATTTCAACAAAAAGTCTTCAAACCTGTAACTACTTTAACGGACATTTTAAGTGATCAAACCATATATAGTAATTAGAATTATTGAATAAACATACCAAACAAAAGCAGGAAAGCTACCATGAAATATTCTATAACTTTTAGCCAATTTCACTTCTTAATAATTTCATTTCTACTCAACCCATTGAGAGATATGTATGACAAGAGACTCGCACAAGCTGTTAATTTTAAGTAAGCAGTTAAAGCTGGGATAATTAAAAAGTGGCGATTCTATTATAACATCTGTATCCTAGAATAAATACAAATAGATAAGTCATATAACAAACTTTCTAACTTGTTTAAAGATACTCGAATATAATACATCCAAAAAAACAACAATCTTTGATAAAATATTAAACAAGTCACTTAGGTTCAGATGTCATTCAGAATAAATGACTGATTTATTTTCAACAACTGGATTTCTACTTGACATCTTAATGGTACCCTCAAGTTTCAATGAAATCAACAAACACAAATTTGTTTTCAAAGTTTACAAATAAACTTAGACTACAAGTATGAGAATCAAAGAAAATATCAGAACATGGTAATGTCAACTTGATACCAAAATGTAGCATGTCAAAACTGAATGAAAGTTATCCCGAAAAAAAGCATTTTATAGTCTTTACACATGTAATAAACACACAGAGAATCTAAGATTCACGATAAAAAATGTAAAAGCCTAAAATTCTAAGAGACTAAATGGCATGTTTTGTCTTGCTTCAAAAAATACTTGTGTTAACCTGTAAAGTCATGGAAAATCAACAACAGATAATTGTAATTGTTTTATTTCAACAGTGATATATTTTCAATTTCTATTCTTCACAATTTGAAAAAGAAGCCATTAATATAAGTATTTGAGGGTCTATATCCTGACCAAGTATGTTTAGTGCATTCCATATTTAACTTATGAATATATTTATGCCCTTCAAGTTTTGGTTTATTACTAAAACATTTAACATCTAATTAGCATAATGTCAATCAACATTGCACATTTATCACTGATTTTTATATTTTGATCAATCTAAACACAAAATTCCTAACATTTTGTCAGTATTTTTCGGATTAAAAAAGCTGACACAGTTTTGAATAGCAAGAGCCACAACTCTCAAGAAATTTAGTTTTAGATTTCACAACCAAATTGAAAATTTTCAATTGCTATAGTGTAGCACACAGACCTACAGCATGTGCAGTAGAGCATAATAGATTTTAAATGTATTCACAAAGGTAAGCATAAAACTTCATAAACTCTGTTGAAATCATTACTTTGATAGTTTTAAAAAAAAAAAAATTCTACAGTAAACTTTTCTTTAATTTTGTTTATTAATAATAAAAACAAAACAAATAATTACATCATAGGCTTATCTTACAATTGGATTTTAAATTTGTAAGAAATCAACAGTGCTAGATTATCATGACTAAATAACTGAAGGAATATATTGAAATAAAAGATATTTTAAGTTTCAACATTTAACATTACACAAATCATGATAAGGCTCATTCTTAATGTTTTGTATAACTACATAATGATAGCAAAGTATGCAATACTGAATGTGAAAGGAAAATTTTATCAAAAAATTTAAATAAATTTAATAACCCACAATAAATGATTTGTCTTAAACAGTTTTACTAACAAATAAAAAGATACTGTTCTCTACTAGATTATATATCCTTAACTTACCTGTCCAGACTTCAATGTTTTCCAAACAAATTCTTTTACTAGCTCTTCACTTGGATCATGGCCCAAGTCTTTCTGTAGCTTAGTGAGCCATACAAGAACTTCCTAAGAAAAAAAATATATATTAATTTAGTACACATATTTCTATCTACAGCAGTTTACCTGGCCTTCCACTTAATGTAACTATTGTTCTCTTAGTATACATATTTGTGTCTGAAGATGTTTATCTGGCTCTACACTTAGTGTATGTATTATTATCTTGAGTATATATATATTCATTGATATGAAGTGGTAACTTATTAATGTTGCAACTTAGTACACACATTTCTATCTACAACAGTATATCTGGCTCTTTACTTTGGTGTATGTATTGTTATATTTATTGATAAACTGGTAATATTTTTCAACTCTGTGTACAGAAATATAGCTTTAAGATTTATTTTTCTGGATCAAGTTAGTTTATTTAGTACTGCTTTGAGCAATCTAAGTGATAAACAGAAATGTAAATTTATTTTGTTGTAGGTAACCGATTTATCACCGAGTGTTAATTGCAGATATATATATAATCATGGCAATTTTAAACAAATCAGAATTATGTTCCTTTTCTTCTGTGCAAGAACGTAGGAAGTTTATAACATTTAGTTTAAATAATGATTTTTTAAATAGTTATGTGAAGTTTTCACCTCAAGACAAGCAGTTAAGTAGCTCACATAAAGCTCTAGAAGCTTTCGCTAATTTTACCAAAAAATTTTTCAAGACACATTTATATATATATAAAAAAAAGGAAATTTTCTCTAAAGTAGAAACTCTTGATTTTTTGCATAAAATATGGCATTTTTCAATAAAAATCACAAAACTTTTACTATAAAACACAAAATAATCACTCTGTTTTCTTACATTAATCAAAACTCCTTTCTAAACAATTGGCAGCAGCTGTATTGTCATGAAAGCTTTGTATCATGATTATAATATAAAAGAGGTTTAACATTTCGTATAAAAATCAAGTAAACTCCAGGTTTTTTTTCACAGTACTCTTAAACTTGTCATTTCAGAATTCAAATTAGAGGTGTGTAAAAATAGCATTTACGATTTATCTTTTGTCTCCCCCCCAAGTCACTATTCTGGAAGCCATTTCCTCAATATCAGGACTTGTCAGCCAGGCTGAATGATGAGAGACAAAACTTTATCTGAAATGTTGTTTATAAATGTAATAAAAGAACTTCAAAGTTATAGTTTAAGTTCCAAAAGCTAGTAAAGTATTGGAAACTAACAGGCCTAATGTTAAGTTCATATTTAGGTATTCCATAATTTGGTTGTTTCTTGTAGCGAGATATTAGTGCATAATGGTATAAATCAAGGCCAGTTGTATAAACATCAATATCATTCATGAACTATCTTCTCACATGAATTCATTACTAGTACATTTCTTATAGAATATTCACCAAGAGCCCTAACAAACTAGGATGATAAAAACCAGTATTTGATATTATTGATCTTATAGAACAATTCTCAGGAGCCAACATATATACCATCTTTTTCTGGTTTTAAAACAAGGTATCTTTACAGCTTACTTTCTTTTGAACAGGTTGTATCTTTGTTCAGTTTTACATGTGTACTAGAAAAATTGTTCTTTGTAATGTAGTCACTTTTTTCCTATTTTATTGCTTCAATAATTTTGTCAGGTTTAATTATAATACACTGTATTTTTTCTAAGGTTAATAAGAGCTCAAAACTCTCCACTAGAAAAATTATAACACAGGTGAGTTACTAACACGAGTGTTTACATTTTCAAATGATGTATTATTATGTAGAGAAAATACAATTCTTCAATTGCCTCAACAAAGCTTCAAAAGACTGGAGATAATGCAAAATTTAAACCACATGCTAAAGCAGTTTCCTTACTGTCACTGAACTGATAATTACTTCACTTTGCACAATTAAAAAAGTTTGATCACCTTCACAAATATGAAGCTGATTCAATATTCATACTTGATTGGTTCTATACTGAATCAAAACACTATTAAACTTATTTTTATTATCAAGGCAGCTCAGCATAAGATCTTTTTGTGAAATTGTAGAATCAATTAATTTTACATGTTTATAAACAACTGTTTTATGTTCACTATTAGAACAAAAAACAAATTACTAAAAATGAAATGCAACCCTTTTTAAAAATAATAGGTAAAAATGAAATAAAAAAACGTACTTAACTTCCAATCTGGCAAACCGAAAGAGAATTTTAAATTTTAACTCACCTGGTTTGCAAGTCCATGAAGAGGTCCCGCCAGGCCATTCATACCAGCTGAAAATGCTAAGTAAGGATCCGAGAGAGCACTTCCAACGAGGTGTACAGAATGAGCACTAACATTTCCTCCTTCATGGTCACTGAAGACAGGAATCAAATTGGCACTTGTAATACATCTACAGAGCTGACATTCGGTATATACTTGTCTGAAAAGTGTTTCCTAATCTTCTGGGTTGTAAATCTCTTTAAGAATAGCAACATTTTATAATTCTTTTCACTTTACAAGATGGTCAGAAAGGTTTAGCCTGTGTAAAAATTTTGTGTTATACCTACGGGCAAAATACAGTTTGGCCCTAGTTAAAAAAAAAAACAAAAAAAACTAGAAGGACTGCATTTTCATATTTTGGGTGTTTGTGATAATTTTTGTTTTTATGTAAAACTGCAATTTGTTGATTTTTCAGACATGTTTTATCAAATTCATAAGTTAAAGAAGACTCTCCTGAATCCATAGGTACATTTTTAAACCCTTAAAACACATTCAATGAAACTTACGAATGTTGGTTGTCATTTATCAATCAAACTTTATAGAGTTCATCAGTCACTGAGTAATACCTTATTAAGTGACTCTATGCCACTGAGAATATAAACAAGTTACCCCACGACATCCATTGTATTCTTTGAAATGGGAGGAAGGACTGAATTTCTTAGTAAAACAAAATTTTAATTCTCAATTTTTCATTCCAAATATAGTTACTTAAGTAGATTTAAGCAAACCAAAAATAAACCTGACAAACACAGTGAGCATATTGTAATGCCCTAGTACAAAATTATGCTATCAGTAAACAGTGGCAATTAGTATAATAGTCATACCTGTTGGTGTAAAAATATTAATATAAATATAAGCTAGTTTATGTTTGACTATTAGTGTTAAACAATGTTGTATTAAACATACATATTCTCCTTTCCATTTTGTTTGTACTGGGTGTCAGGGGTAAAATTTCAAAAAAAAGAAAAAAGTTAAAACAGAATTGCTTTTAAGCCTAAAATTATCGATGGGTGTCCAAAGGATCCTAACCACCAGTTTCTGAAACACATTCTTCTAAGCCATTTATGTACTAAACTGGTTGTTACATGGTCCTTAGTAAAACACGAATCACACAAAAAAAATATAAACAGAAATACAATCAATATTTAAGTTAATCTCAATTATTACTGTTGGGGTTTCCTATGTATTTTACAACACAAAAAAGAGAGAAAAAGTGAGAGATTTCACTCTGTGTTTTTCGTCTGTTTTTCAGACTGGGTGTTGTTATAAGGAAAAACATAAAATTGGTCAGTATAATACAACATCTGGACAACATTGATGGTAAACCATATAAAGGTAAGTTAGTAATTTGACATTTAATATACACTGATTTTGAATATACTACAAATATATTTATTTATGCATACTTTATTTTGTAATTTCTACTGAGTTACAGCCACTCAACTCATAAATACATTTTCATTTAGTCTATTTTAATTTCCAGTTAAAAGAATTACCTGGTCAAAAAACACCAATTTAACTTAACCTGTGTAATTTCTTTCATTTGAAACTAAAGAAAATTGGGTGAAATTGTGTCATCACCCTAACTTATTACATCTTTTTTCTAAGTTGCAACAGAATTGTGCATAGCTTTACTTAAACCTAAATACCTTAAGACGTTCAAGAACGTCAAAGTAATAAAGAAAAATGATATATTCCCAAATCTTGCTTTATACAGTTTATAGCTCCTTCGACAATGTAGTTAGTTACCTGTGAATAGCAAGGTAGAGTCTCATTAACTCTGTAAAGTTAGGATCATCATAGCCAAGCATAGATGTAAAATTTGCTGACCAGTCCTTATTAACATCTATAGCACCAATACTGCTTCCATCTCTGTACAAGTTTCGGTAGATTGTGGCAGCAATTGGTGGCAGTTTGGCAATTAAGTCCATGGCATCTTCAAATGTGTGCTAAAGTTAAAATAAAACAAAAAATTAATTAAAATGAAAGTGGCATAGTACACGCCAGAATAAACATGTTTAACCCTTTCGAGATGGGTCATAGGTCAAAGGCCATGTCATCTCATTTGTTGACTCGCATTCAAAATTTTATTGAACTATTATTTCATGAATTTATATCAATATGTTTGATATCAAATTGTAGATTATAATTCAAATTTAAGAACTATACATTACTGAATTTCTTAATTTAAAGGTAAATATTAAAAAGAACAGAGATAAATATCAATTTTTGTGCATCACGTGGTATGCTGAATGCAGCACTGGTTCAAATTAGATGTTTGTGAAGTCAAATTACTAAGTCTATAGTTTCGTACAAATTAGAAACTCAAATTACAGATAATACATGCTAGAATATAAAAT